GTACCAGGAACCCAACCCACTTCTGAACTCGAAGGCAGAATCCGATGCTAGGCTTGCTTGCCGATGTACAATGTCTTCTAGGAAGACTAGGGGAAGTGACTATTTAGTGACGAGTTACATCCGCCACTTCGTAGTGTTGTTAAGCAGACACTTGTGGCTATTTTTAGGGAGCGAACTTATCAAGCCTAAACCCACCACATCCCGGAACACTACCGCCGAAACGAAAGATTCCTTGCCGCCGAGCTGGCACATCGAGGTTTTTCGGTAAGCCTGCCGTTCCAATGAAACATATGAACATTTAACTTGCACTGTACTCTAACACTACAGGCTAAGTCAGGATCTGCACTGACTTGTCGGACATCTTTCCGACAGCAACTGGCGTTCGTTAGGGCTGCCCAATTTCCCTATTTTTGTTCAACTTTGTTCTAGACTCCGTCATGCACCGTTCACTTCGGAATCTTTTGATGCAGGCGTTGAGGTGTTACCTGGCGAGCAGCTAGTTAATCATGATTTTTCAGACGATATTGACTTGCTGTTTAACAATTTTTTGGCAACCCAACCAACCCCAAACACCCTCAAGAATCTTCCCAAGAGTGGCCATGCGCTTCACACCTTCAAAGTGCAACTTGTTGTTGCAAAATCACTAGCCTCCTTATTACCCATTGATTCCTGATACAGAGGTATTTGATCGATTCACTTACATTGACAGCTGCATCAGCAACGGTGGACGCATAAGCACCGAAGTCAGTTCACGTATTGCGAAAGCTAGAACTGTCCACTTATATCTGGGACATCTTTAGCATCAGAAAGGAACCTTCCTCGATCTGAAAGGCCGTGTTTACATGGCCACAGTAAGGGCCATCCTACTTTATAGGAGGGAGACTTGGCGCCTTCGATCTGGGGGCATGCGGCGCCTTCAAGTCTTTGCTCGTCGTTGTCTCCGAAGCATTGCTGGTGTCGGTAGCACCAGCGTGTCCACAACGATGGTGTGCGTAGGCGGGTGGTAGGTAGTAATAATCAAGCTAATTCCTTAGAACAACAGATAGCTCAGAATAAGTGGCTTTGGTATTTACGTATACCTAGTCACCGCTTACCGAGGGGGCATTGTTTTGTTCGCCATTTGTAGAGTGGCCCGAGGCTTGAGGTGGGCAAAAATTAATTTGGCAGCGAGATAGCGTGTCGTTGATCCGCTGGAGTCCACGTAACCCTCCTTGTTCTTGGCTTGGGATGTTACAAAACCTGGTTTGCAGTCGGCACCTTTGGGGTGTCTGCTATCGTGTCCTAATCGAAATGGGATTTTAAGATGTGTTTTGTGCTGTGATATCTGCGAGGAATGGCTGATTATGACGCGGGGCATTGAAAGCTGCAGGTAGATTGTCTCGCCGATGTCACCTTATTGCACGATAGCCGGCTATTGGGGTCGATGTCTTTTTACAAAGCATGGGCACCTTGACCCTGCTTTAAGGACATTAAGGTTTTACGGTAGATCCCCCTTCTCTCCCTTTTATTATTCCTTAGGTTACCGTGATTGCAGCGCAGCGACGCATCAGCCAAGTTGGCTGCTGTAATGTTGCTGCTGCTGACTTGTTTTTGTAGTAACAGTGAGTGGCATATCCGATTCCTACATTGCTTGTTTAGCAGCGCCCCTTGGTATCCATTACTGTGGTGTCTGAAGTTTCAGTCTCTGCCAGAAATACATCTCAATGCACATTTCACTTATTGTCTATTGGAATTCACTTGGCTTGTTTGACAGAATGTTTTTAGGTCAAAGTCTATTCGCTGAGGCTGTTCATTACTCTTAAGCTTTATTCCTTTTGTATTTTCTGCTACGTTAGCGGAGTTTTTCACGGCTAAAACAGTTCATAGCTCAGTTCTCTCGTATATTACATTCTTAACTTACCATCGATTTTAGGACCTGAATTTACAGAACGTCATAGAATGTTTCAATCCCGAGTCGTTACGAACTACATTAGTCGATGTTCGTAATGTGGACGGATCCGTTACCGTAACTGACAAATACGGGCATACTTTGACTGAGAGAAACTGTTCCTACAAACCGGAACCCAACTTTTCTCGTTATGGCTTCATTTTAAATCCTAATCCAGACTTACACGTTGGCAAGGTGAATATTGGGAACTTCACCTTACTTTTCGGTGAGTTTAGTGGTTTCTTTATCATTCTCTTCCTCATTATAGGCTCTTCGGATGTTGCGAAAGACCTTCAGTGCTTAATCCAACACGATGTGACGCACATTATTAACCTTATTTCCAACGTTATGCCTAACGCTTTCCCGGATCGCTTTGGCTATCTCTCATTGGTTGTATATGATGACATGCAGTTTCGTCTAGATGATAGCATTACACAATGTGTGCAGTTCATAAACGAAGTGAGAAGCCAAGGCGGTCGATGCTTTATCCACTGCGACTCCGGTGTTTGTCGAGCTCCTTCGATGGTAATAGCATATTTGATGAAGGTCGAAAAATTCCCGTACGAACATGCCTTCAGGATTGTGCACAACGCTCGTAACATTGCGCTCAATTTAAATTTCAAGACGCAGCTAATGAATTTATTTTGATCCAATTTTGCTATTCCAGCAATCCCAACCATGCCTTGCGCTTAGTGCCATCTCGTTGGGTCGCTTGTATTAGTGTTTCACAGCTTTTTCATTTTGTTTGTGCAATGATTGTGCTTTTTACAAGCGTCCTATGCCTATTATAATCACTGCTTATTTTCGCTTAACTTGCTGACTATCTTGTCGGATTTCTCCAAAATGTTTTCCCAAGTATAACAATTTTTCCTTGACACCTTTTTACACAGTTTACAGGATCGGGTGTTGCTTGGTTTCATGGTACTTGATGGCTCTTGTATCGGCAACGTTGCGTTGATTATCTGCAAGCGTCAAACGCTCTGGTTAACGCAATAGTTGTTAAACCACCGTGATACTCGGCGTCAAGCAGGAGGGTCTTGCGTGATTCGGAAGACAACCCAGATGTTCATCGTAGTTTATCACTATTCGAACAGTTGACTATCTCTCGTTGCATGGCCGCTGCGGGCTGCAATATTGATGTGATTCCATTCCATTTGGTGCACCAACGCGGCATCTGTTCCCAGGAGACTGCTACTTGTCGCAAGTAATGATGGCACGTGTTAGGTTAGGATAGATGCTTCATGATGTAATTTGCCACTGTTCGTCCACCGCATTATACGCGACTGGTATACTACTTCCTCCAGTATAACACTGGTAAATGGCTAATAACTGTCCATCCTACGTGAAGGAAACACGCATAATATCACTCAGTTCTCCTGATGCACTTTATACCCGAATTCTTTACCTCTTCATAGACTTTCGCGCGCACATTGGCGGCAATCCGACCCCCCCCCCCACACACACACACACACACAACCATGATCATCGTGCCCTTCCGATGCACAGTTCCCGAAGCGTTGTTTTCTCTACTGCAAACTGCAGCGTATTTCCTCTTCCTTTTTCACCTGTTCTTTTATCCCAGTTCCAACCCTTAATCCCAACCTTGCTTCCTAGCTGCTTCAGTATCATTCAGGTTCAACTATCCACACTCATCTCATCTGTAACGTGCCTTGGTCCTATTAAAAGTAAAAGTTAATCCGATGCACTGCAACTAAACGCATGTAAGGCTCCGACGATTATTTAGTGAGTCATGATCAAATTCAGTGCTAACTGGAGTAGAGCACCTCACGTATGTGTATTGGCAAGCCCCAAGGCTAGTCCCTGTGGCACAAGCATATACGCATTGAACGTACAACCGCAACGATGGTGGTTAGAATAGTTGTCAGAGTTGTTCTGTGTAAAGTCAGAGGAAATAAAGCTTGCTTAAGGGATTTCACAACATCCACCATCTTATCGTCATAAAACGCCTGTATACCACGCTAACTGATTTCCATGGTTTCACATAACACTCATACCATGCGATAGATGGGACAAGTTATGGCTGCATACACGACGACCTAAATATGATAGTATGAACTAAAAGATTAATGATTTGAAGAGAAGGTGTTTGCCGCCCTCTAGATTTCGATTCTATGGTTGAGTTAGCCATGGTGTACACTAGTTTGTCGCTTCATCATGCGCATCAGGGCAGAGTTGCAAACATTTCGGCTTTAGTTGAGCATTGGTATACTCATGACACTCGTTATTTGTGAACTCGGGTGCCAATAAAACAGCATTGTGTCAGGTTCCGTGTGCAAGCTTCTGCTCCCGATTTGAACACTATTGGTAGTTCAGATGTCGTGTTCACTATACACCAGTGATGCACACGGACAACTACCGTGTTGGTTTGAGGAGTAAGTAGGGGATTCTCCTTTTTCATCAGCGACCGATGATATCTACCATTTTCACTTTAAATTGGATCTCTTCCAAACCACATTGGGCATTTTGCAAAGCATATTGAATATTTCGCAAAAACAAATTAGACGTTTTGCAAATCATATCTGACGTTTTACAAAACAACTTGTACATTTTGCAGAAAATTCACAATTCACCATCAAGAAATGAGGTGGAAGGCAACTAGACGATATTCAGACCACATTATGGTCATTCTAATGCAAAAAAATTGTGTCAGCAGCCACAGAAAGCCCTTCTCTTGGTAGTGAACCTCGATAAAAGGCGGTGACTGAATGTCCATCTCTTTCCCCTCAATCTTCGCGTAGTTCATGCGCCTGTGTCTTCACGTATGAACGTGTGTAGCTGTGTGACTATAGGAAAGTCAGACTCCCGATCGCATAGTCTATTATGACTTAAACAAACGTCACATAGCTCTGGAAGGTCATTGTGAAGCACTCGATTTGTGAATGGATTACGATGGTTAATCTCAATGTGGACCGCGATTCCCACTGAAGATAACCTTGGCCAGTTCGATCGCTGCGATCGTATCTGATGAAGCAGATAGGCGGCGGTCCATTAGTTCCCTATGGACCTTCTCATATTTTGTGTGGATGAACTTATGCAGCTACATGACTATCAGAACAGTGAAGACTATCATGATTCCACCAAACCCACTCTAGCTTTACTGGCCTACTGCTGCAGTTTGTTCTCAAGAACAGGCGACTGAGCGATGTTCAGGCCACATTGTGCTCATACAAATGCAACAGAATTGTGCAAGCAGTGGGCGAATGTGCAAACCCTCCTTTTGCTCATAGTTGCCGTTCACCTCGATCAAAGCCGGTGACCTAAATTTGTCACTCTATGGGCGTTCGCATGTTTTGCGTAGGCGAACCTATGCAGCTGCTGGACTATTAGAACAGTGTAGGCTATCATGACCGCCAAATCCAGCATCACTTTATTAGCCTTATACTGCACGAAACGACAAAAATGAGCGACGAACGACTATCGCCCACTGCTTGCACTGTTCTGTTGTACTCGCGTGTACACAATATGGCCTGAAAATCGTCCAGTCGCCTGTTCTTGAAAACAAACTGCAGCAGTAGGCCAGTAATGCTAGAGTGGGTTTGGTGGTGTAATGATAGTCTGCACTGTTCTGATAATCATGTAGCTGCATAGGTTCATCCACACAAAATCCGCAAAGGTTCATAGAGAACTACTGGGTCGCCGCCTGTAAATAAATAAACTTTTATTCTCGACTAACGAGGCACGCCTACACAGGCATGATCATGGTAAGAGTGCAACAGGTGATCAAGGAATGTATCGTAGGAGTGTCATATATGTTGCTACTTGTATGTGGTTATGCGTGCGTGTAGGCGTGTTTTGCTTGTGTCTGGACGTATCACCAATTCTAAAGAGGTATTTGACGTCCGTGGATTTGCAATGATTGTACGGATGAGCATGACGTTGCTGTTCTACCACGTTTCGCCATTATGAAGCAAGGGGCAGTGACTTTATTTAGTGTCTAGTCGCAACCGCTACGTCACAGTCTTGTTAAACGGGCATTTGTGGCTTTTTATAAGGAGAACGCTTACCAAGCGGAAACCCATCACGTCCTGGAACTGCCGCCGAACTCTTTGCTGGAACGGGGTGTGCCTGAACCACGCAGCTGGCACCACGGGGGGTTGTTCGGCTACCCAGCCTGCTTCATCAGTTATGGTCTCAGCGATCGAGTTGGCCAACGTTTTCTTCAGTGGAAATCACGGTCCACATTTAGATTACGCATCGTAATCCATTCACAAATTGAGTGCTTCACAGTAGCCTTCCAGGGATATGTAACTATGCGATCGGGAGTCTACTTTCCAATAGTCACACATGTGAAGACACAGGCGCATGAAATACTCAAAGGCTGAGGGGAAAGAGGTGGACATTCAGTCACCGCCTTTTATCGAGATTCACTACCAAGAGAAGGGCTTTCTGTGGCTGCTGATACAATTTCATTGCATTAGAATGACTACAATGTGGTCTGAATATCGTATAGCCGCCTTCCTCCTCATTTCTTGCTAATAAATTACTGTTTACTTATGAATGGAAGGATTTTGGTGAGTATTTTTGTTCGTCGCAATCAGCCGACAATTCAGATATGTCGACCAGCTATCCGGGCTATATCGCATTTAGCTAACAATTCATGATAGTCAGATACCGTCCTCCATGGCACAGTTACATAAGCTGCGGGCTAGTTGACAAGAGCCACTAGCAGTCATGGGTTCGATCCTCCCCAGAGGACCGAAGGGTGCGGACCACTGATGAGCCCCAATAGGGCGAAACGGCCGTCTGGTGCTTTTCCGGATAGCTGGTCGACATATCTGAATTGTCGGCTGATTGCGACGACCAAAAATTACTGTTTTTCTGCCTCGAATATAATGTGTCCCATTCGGTTTGCAACTTGCTCAGTTTTCTTTTGCAGAACGTCTGATGTGTTGTGTAAAACGTCCAGTTTAAAGTGAAAATGATTTATTAATTACCGCGGTGACAAAACTTCACCAGCCTTTTCCTGCTTGTTTATAGAGGAATTCCTTTGTATGCTGCTGGCATTAAATAAACTGGTTGAAGTCCTGCATGATGATTCACTTTTTGATCAGCAATATGGCTAGAAGAAACCTGAAAGAAAGGATGCATGGCAGCCTGATGATTAGTCATGGGACTGCACGGTTCCAGATAGATATAGAAGCTACCACCAACACGATACTTATCAAACGCTGTTCCGTGATGCCAACTAAAGTGTCATGTGTACTTTCAAATGTGAAAATAGATCAAGACCGAACAGGGTTACGAAATGCCCTCAATACAATTAAAGGGTTGTTTATTGAAGCATAGTTTAAGGACTTTATCGTGTGGAATGGCTTCAACCAGCTGGTAGGGATAAATCTAACTGGTTTTGGAACAAGGTGATCGATGATACCAGTAAGGGAGAATCGTACGCTTACGAATCGGCATCTGCGAGCGCTACGTAGGCTGCGTTCTAAAGATTTTTTAATGTAACCAGCTGATGGTTCTGGAGTGTAGTTGTGAATGCAAATGGATATATCAAATAGGTACCATATTTAATGACTAACGAATTGCGAAGGCGGTGATCGACAATATTACTCATAACAATTTGAAGCTGACTGGTTCAGTCGCATTATGCATTTATAAATTACCGGAAACGCGAACTGGCA